AGAGAGATTCGATCATGGTAAATGTAGTGTGTACTTCGATTTGGTATTGCATCATCAAATCTCCCCAGATCTCGATACAAAAATGTGAGTGTGAATGTCCCCTTGGACAGTTTTTAAAAGCCAAAGACATAGCAGTTATTCACACGTTTTGTTTTGCAATGCAACTATGTGAATAATCTTACTCACGCATTCCCAATTTGTTGTTCACACTATTTTTTATCGGAACCACATCTGTGTACATCTATGCAAGTTCTGCTGCCCACACCCGTCAGCACTGTGAATAAAGATAGAGTCAATGATGACAATGTATTTGAAAAACATTCAAAACATGCAGAGTTTTATCCCAGTGTATCCCGGATCTATCTGCATCAGTTATTCACATCCCTACTCAGCCATGGAAACAATGCAAATCCTGCAGGAAAACTAAAACAAAAAACAAAACAAAACAAAACCCCCAAAAAACCCAGAGATCTATTTTCCCAGTTTTTGTGGGCTTTTTGGCAACCTTCATTCAAAACTTAATCAGATGCATTCGAAATTCATGTGAACAACACAGATTCAACCCACATTCTACCAGGATCCTTTACACTGACTGATTAACCCTATAGTCTCATTACAGCAGTCAAAGATAGAGCCAATGGAAAAAAGGAAACGAGCAACATATTCCTACAAATAGATGTGATTAGACAGATAAGTCATCCACTGATGAGAAGCATGAAGCTCATGGTTAAAAATAGCAACATATTCTCAACTCAGGGAACAGAGTGATAAAAAAAACAACAACAACACCCCAATCTGTTTTGATTTTCTTTATTCCTTGATGTTTTTAAAATATTTATTTCCAAAAAGCACATTGAGAAAACACATTCTTGCCCATTTGTGTGGCAACAGAAAACAATGGGCTTCAGCAATGTTGTCACAATAGCAACCTGCAGTGTTGATGTTTGGTGATACTTCTGCTGATAGCATCTGAATAACAGCAGCCCAAGCAACTGTGGAAGACATATTCCAGGAGAGTTCAATATAATTTCACTATTCTGTGTACCAAAACCATCTCTCTTTCCTTCTTCAAGTTTCCATCAAAACCTGCTTCTACAAGAAGCCCAAGTGAATTCAGTTGACAGTAGAATGCAAACCAGTTTTGCCAGCAAAGCTCACTTCCAAAAATGTAGCAAGCATTAAGAGCTGCTGGGATTCATGTTTGTTAAGATAAAAAACAGAGGTGTGTGTGATGCATTGTGTGAGTCCCATCTTTGCCTGGAGCTTATTCCACAATGCCATAGCTCCTTCCAGTGCTATACCATGCTGTACTATGGTGGGCCATTTAGAATTCAGATTTTCCCTCCTGGAAATAATACTTTAAGTACCCTTTACCCCACTAGAGTTTAGTAAGCACTTTGGATGTGAATGTCTCACTCCACTTGTTGGAATATTGAAAGCAGTGTGACAAGAGCTTGCATCGTCCTCATATGGGAGAGCCCTCCATAATAGTATCATTGCGTATTTGCATAATTTTGGCCCCCTGGACGCAGCACAAACAGGGGGAAATAAGCAATATCGTTGTACTGCAAGTTCAAGTAAGCAAAGATGAGAATTAAAGCCGCTGAAGCATAAATGTAGTGATAGTGCAAGAGGCCACTGTCATTCTGCTCCTTTTCTGAGTATGGCAGAAGCTATTTTCAAGCAAAAAAAAATAAAAAAATAAAAAACAGCTGACTAATAAAATAAGCATATACATTGTAAGCAATGAGAGCTTGTAAAGACTGTAAAATAATATATATGACATTTATATCAAAATGACTAAAGATTTGTATACCTTGCTCAGTCTCTAATCAAAATGAAAACTGTAGCAATGAAATCAGAAGTTTAAGACTTGAAAGAGCAGCTATGAAGGAACTAGGTAAGATCCTCAAGTGTAAAGATAGATCATTGAATACTAAACTCAAGATTTTCCATGCCATCATAATTCTCATGTCTGTGTATGGTTGTAAAAGTTAAAGCTGATAGGAAGAAAATCAGTTCATTTGAAATGTAGTGTTGGAGAAAAGTTCTAACAATACCATGGATTGTCAAAAAAGTCAAATAAATGGGTCCTAGAGCAAGTAAGGCCTGAACACTCTCTAGAAGCCAAGATGATTTTAACCTGAGGCTGTTGTACTTTGGACATATAAAGAGATGACATGACTCATTGGAAAAGACAATAATGCTTGGCAAAGTGGAAGGCAGTAGGACAAGAGAAAGACTGTATTACAAATGGATAGATTCAATCAAGGGAGCCATGGCCCTGAGTTTGGAAGATCTGAGCAGGGTAGTTGAAGACCAGAACTCTTGGAGTTCTTTCATTCATTGTCAAAGTGAACTTGACCCCAAGAAACAACAATAACCATTCTATCAAGAAAATCATAAAGGACTGTGGAGCATAGAGCATGGGGGCAAGATGCAGCAGTCCCTTTACATCAGGGGTGGAGGTGGTGGACAACACATAACACATAGACTGGAGACACTCTCTTCCCAGTTGTGCAGCTGGTTTTGCCAAATTTGGTAAAGTTGGCAGTAGCAGCAAAAAGCAAGTACATTTTTATTGTAAAACTTGGTGTTTCTGCCACCAAATTTATAGCTGTGGGAGGAATCAGGCCTCAGTCTGCTCCAGGGCAAGAAATGGGCCGCCACACTCACTGCAGCTGCCCACCTCTTGAAACAAGTGAACTGACTTCCATTTTGTTTCCAAGCCAGATTGAAGGTGATGGCTTTAACTTATAAAGCCCTTATCAGCAATTGCCCTATTTCATCCATGGAAGTGTTGGGCAAGATGCCTTCCATTTTAAAAACCCTTCTCCTGAATCCTCACCAGTCCTTTCACTTCTTTTTTTAATCACAGAAAACGAACTAAAGATGAAATAATGAAATAACTTGTCACTGGTAACACAATAAGCTGAGGTATTGTTAGGGGTAAACCAAGATTTAGAGGATGGTGACTCCTATGTCAATGGGACAATAAATCTGCCCCGGTTTTTAAATTCGGATATTGAAGGAACTATCCCACAATGCTGAACTCATTGTGAGACAGGTTATACAGTATTTTGGGTTGTTCCTTTAAACTCTAGGCTAGAATTTGGAGCAAAGTCCCATGCCAACTAACTTGAAGGCCATCAGCTACCACTGTCTGGGCTCGTGGGCTGTAGTCTTGAAGCTATTCCCAGGGATCCAGATCTATTCCACTCCATATAAGATGAATATATATTAGCACTACATGTTTTGTCCAGTTTTTTGTATTTTACAGAGGAGACCTGGGACCAATATTTTGAGTCTTTGCCAATGCTTCTGGCTAGGTCTTGTACATCTGGAAATACCCAATATACCAGCCGCATGCTCCATAGGGATCGTGTTCTTTTGGCTTTTAAAATTCCTTCCCTTTATAAAAGTCTGAATCCAAGCACTTTAGCTCTTCTGTCAGATTGGGTTGCAATGTCTCTGGTGGGAACAGAGGTTCTCTCTTCAGACAACCATATGAAGTGCAAGGTGGAAAATATATGTGGAAGTTATAGTTGGTGATAAGATGTGTGACTGAACATCCAGAAAGGACTATGCAGACAGCAAACAAAGAATGTGAGGAAGTCCACTCACCTTTTACCTTGCTTCTCTTGGTGTTATGTACCATCAGGTCAATTCCAGTTTTGGCAACCCTTTTCCTAGGGTTTCATGGAAAGATTTATTCAAACAAGGTTTGATACTGCTTTCCCCTTAGGCTGAGGGAATGTGACTTGCTCAAGATCCCCCAGTGAGTTTCCATGAATGAGCAGGAATTTGAACCCTGCTCTCCCAGACTCCTATTCCAACATTCAAACCACTACACCACACTACTCTGCCTCACAAAATGAATTAAGTCTCTTCAACAGATGGCTTTCTGGAACACCTCTGTTCAGTGAGAACATATGTTAATTTATCTGAAAGAACACGTTGAACACTTTATGCTAGGCTGGCAAGCAAACCAGACCTCTGTTTCCATTGAATTCCTTCTGAAAGACAAATATAAATAATACATCCACTCTCCTTTCCTTGTCAATTTGGTTCCTGCTGCCAGGAAGTTATTGCTAAATTGCATAGCGGCCAAACGGCCTCTAGCCCTGTTTGTGGAGTTCCCAAAATGTGAATTAATTGTCTGCCTTTTTGCTCCTGATATATTACCAACTTTCTGATAATTCTGCAGAGAAGCCATCCACTGCAATTAAACCGTAGATATGCAAAATGTTTACCTACTAAATCCAGTGTTGAATCTCTCTCTCTCTCTCTTTTTCACATAGACACTCAAGCATACACACACAGGCATCACTCCATATGAAAAGAGAAGCAATGAATTAAAAGCAGCAGAAGCTAAACAGGCATGGGAAGAAGAATTAGAAACACAAGAGATAAAGCTACTTAAAAACACAGCTTTGCAAGAGAAATGTAGAGGATTAAAAGGCCTGAGAGAAAAAGGCATTTTGTCTAGACATGCATACCCTCCAACATTTCAGAGAAAAACTGGCACACACGTGGCTAAGCAACATCAGAGTGTAGTCAAATTGGCAAAAGTTATTAATGAAGAAAAATGCACAAGCTCAGACAGGCTTCAGCCATTTGCTTTTGCCTGAGCCGACTGGGAAGGACAAGACCCTGTCCTCTTCTTTCCTCTCCCCCACTGAGTTAAATGAGTGCAAAATATATTTGCACCTTAAATTCATTTTGCTGCAGTTGAAGCAAGGTGAGGATGAGGAAAGGAAAACAAACATTTTAAAAGCAGCTGAAAAAGTGGGACAACACTACCAGATCAAGATAGTTGGTATGGAGATGGTGTTTCATAACTGGGAGAAGGGGGCAATACTTCTGAAAAGACCCAACCTCAAGTTAGTGATTGCAGCCACACCTCAGCATATGAAGGCACTCAGAAGAGGGAATGTATAGGAAGAAGAGTTTTGTTCTGTACTGTGGCTCAAAGTTGTGAAAAAGTACCAGTATGGAGAGCTAGCATGGCACAGTGGTTTGAGTATTGGACTGCAGCTCTGGAGGCCAGGGTTTGATTCCCAACTCAACCATGAAACCCACTGGATGACCTTGGACAAGTCACATGCTCTCAGCCTCAGGAGAAGGCAATGGCAAACCTCCTTTGAACAAAAATGTTGCCAAGAAAACCCCATTATAGGGTCACCTTAGGTCACCATAAAGTCAGAAATGACTTGAAGGCACATAATAACAACAACAATTGCTACTACCACCACCAGCATGGCTAATCAATCAATCAATCAATCACCATCATTTATTAACAAAATAAAGATGTCAAAATACCATTCTCAACAGAATGGTAGCCTAAAATGTACATACTGCCTCCTAATATTGTTTGACTAAGGAGACAGGTAAGAGAGGAAGGCATTGGCTGCAACCCAGGAACTCTGATAACTTTTGCCCAAATATATGTGTCACTGAAGCTCAGTAGCATCAGATTTATACTCCCTTTAGTCTCTGAGGGATGGCATTACAAAGGCTTCAAGACAGGAATGGCCATATGGTTGCTGCACATATGTTGAAAACAACAAAGACATGGCTCACAATAAGAATACCTACAATGACAACTTCCAGGAAGATACCTACAGTCCAAAACCTCACTGTGATCTCTGTGTGATCATTTTCCAACAGATGTCAAGAAATTAATATTCCCTTCCTCCCATAATGTTTATCCAAGCAACAAAATGTCAAGCAGATATCCTTCTCTTTCCTCCCACATCAGCAATAGGAAATTTCAGCACCATGTCTTCCCACCTTCTTATTGATCTTCATACATTGATTGTGTGTCATCTGACTGACCTTTTTTATTATTATTGTCTCTAATCCATGACTTATTCTGACACGAACATTTATCCCACGGTGGATAATGAAAGCAGCAGCTGGGATGGCACGGGAGAGTGATAAACCCTAGTATCCACTGCTTTGAGATGTTCGGTCAAGTGGTTCCAAACAGAAAACTCTCAAGGTCAGCCAAGAACCCTGTCCCTTTAACAATTGTATAGAAGAGGACATTTCTCTAGCCATGGCATCTGCACTGTTGGTGTTCCACTAGTAGTGAGGCAAAAAGTGTGAACAAATTTGGAGGGATGTCACAAGTGACTCTGAGTAGAAGATATACCATGTGTCCATCACTTTCTTCACTGAGTAGAAGATATACCATGTGTCCATCACCCTGTCTTTCCCCCAGATTGATACTCAAGGCAGCTTACAAAAAGGCAGAAAATTTAAACAAAAACAGTTAAAAGCATTTTTAAAAAAGAAATTAAAACAGCATTAAACTAACAATAGATTCAAGACCATCTGAAATATTTATTATGAAACAAAGATGAAAAGGAAATGACTCTAAAAGATTCTTTTTTTAAAAAAAAATATTTATTTGTTTATTTATTTAGCTTACTTATGCAAGGTTCATCTGACCTAGTGATTGCATTTCACATGTGCATGTTAGGTTTGAATTTAAAAAATCCTGAAACATATTGAACTGCTCTATTGTGTCCATGTTGCTTCCACTTCTGGTAGAAACTTCTACCTTTGAAGAAGCTAGTGTAGCTCTGAAAGCATGCATGATGTGTTTTGTGCTTTTTAGTTGGTCCTGCAAAGGTATCATTGTTTTATGGATTTTGTATTTTGTTGTTCAAATCCTCACTGGGCCATGGGAACCCAACTGGGCAGCCTTGGGAAGCCACAGCCTCTCAGCCTTAAAAGAAGGAGATGGTGAAACCCCTCTGTATAAATCTTGTCCACATTAAATTGAGGCACTGCCCTGGCTCAATGCTCGGGAGTCATGGGAATTGTATTTTTTTCTGAGACATTGAGCCTT